ACAATCGCAAGTGGTTTAGATATTTACTTTATATTTAAAAATAAAACTTTTAAATTAACAATTTCACTATAATTGATTGATTATTTAAAGTGGCAAAACTTTGCTAAATTTATTTATTAACCTTGATGCTAAGTCAGTTAAAATTCCAACAAGTTTGTTTGTGAAAATACATTTTTTAATGATGTCTACTGTAAATTAGACACATTGTATATAAAATCGAGATCATTTAATATACAATAGACATGATTAGCATTTATAAAATGTTTTTTGTATTGTGTAGCTAAATTGTTTTACAAATTATTGTTTATGATTGTTGTTTATTTATAGATATTCAATGCAATTTAATAGTGTAAATATTACATAACATTTTTGACTAATATTTTATTATTAAATTTTCCAAACATAATCAATTTGGGCAAAATAATTTAGAGATGTCATTTAAAAAATAGTAATTTAAATTTTACAATTATAAAAAAGTCATTTGGGTTTTTATATATTAATAGATTAGTGAGAAAAACATTTATAATAACAGTTTAATAAATTGCAAGACAGTCACCGATTTTATAATCATATTAAGGTAATGCATTTGCATTACATTTAACCATATGTTTGTCGTGAAAGGGCTAATTCAGCATATTTTTATTTTAAGTTGCATTTATTACTGCAAGGTGATAATAATTAATGTTTATTTAGCCAATCTATTTTTCATATAATTTATTAACTATCAAATAAACAACATACATATAAATATAATTATCAAAAATATATTAGTAAACCCACTAAGATTTATACTTATAAACATTTATGTACAAGAATAGCATATTTTAACAATATTTCTAAAAAACAACTTACATGAATTATTTATTAATTAATTTGTTGTCATTACTGCAACGCTATTTGGCAAGTGATTTATTAGTTTTACCACATTGTTAACACATAAAATCATGAATAATTAATGTAAACCATGATGAACTGTATAATAACTTTAAAATTGTTTGGGTATAACAATTTATTAAATACTGTTAAATGTAATTATTTTTAAAACATACATAATTCAACACTAGTTGATGGGAAGTTGTGTTAACGTCATAAGAAACTAAATTATTAATTATTGTTAGCACCCAATAGTTTAAAGGTGTGAGCTTAATTAACTAATTAGGTGATTATAATAAATAACATAATTCAACACTAGTTGATGGGAAGTTGTGTTAACGTCATAAGAAACTAAATTATTAATTATTGTTAGCACCCAATAGTTTAAAGGTGTGAGCTTAATTAACTAATTAGGTGATTATAATAAATATTAAAACTATGTACAAGGCTACTGGAATTTTAAATAAAATTTAATTTAGGCGTTTCATCATGTTGATTTACAATCAATTATTGTAAATATGCTAAAATACTAGAGTTTGGGTACGGTACAAATACATATATTTTTATTTAATTGCAACAAAAAAAGTTATTATATTAAATTATTATTTAGCGCTCATAAAGTTAAAATAACCAAGGCTATAACCGGACTTAATAAAATATATCACTTTTATTTACGTATGAGGTAAATTTATTTAAATAATTCCAATTGGAAACTTGATTTAGTTTTAAATTCTAGAGAATGATATTATATTTTATAATTTATAACTAAAAAGTCTCATATTTACACATTATGTAAATGAATTTATTTAATTACATGTATTGTACATGTTTAATATTGTTTAAACATTATGTTTATGTGCAATATTCATTCTTCATTACAAATAATAAAGCTGACTCAATTATAAGAAATTACAAATTGGTGGATATTAAACATTTATTTATTTGATTATGGCCGAAATGCTGTTAATAACTATGATGTTTACGATGTTAGCATGGCACATATTGGTTGGTGTGTTGGTACGAGCGGCACTGCCTCGTTGTCTCATTCACTGCAATCAAACCAATATTATTGACTATTTATTGTGTAAGAAATGTAAATTTCGTGAACCAATGAGATTTGGCTGATGTTTATTTATTTCATCCATTTATTTATCACACATTATCCATATATTTGTTCCTATATCTAATAATTAAAGGTAATTTATTATTATATATATGTATTTTAATTTCTTAGAAATATTAAAAATCAGAGAGAGAAAGAAAGAAAGAGAGAGAGAGAGGGAGAGTTTATAGATAACTGTTAAAATAATGTTTTACATGTTTTATCTGCTGATAATTGTTTTTATTAAAGCAACTTTATCTGTAGTATTTAAATATTAAATGATAATATTAAAAACTATAAATCGTATTCCATATAAATAAAATTTTTATCAATTATAAAGTTTGATCTTATAAAACTTGTTTACCAGTAAATAATATAGAAATAATTATGTTGGTAATAATTAGTGTAATTAAAATGACAAATATAATAAATAAAATCACAGAAAATTGTGAATATATATGTAAACTGCTTATTATATAAATATTTCTAATCTATGTTAAACACAAATCAATTACAGCAAAGAGTGTCCCGAATGTTATGACATTCATGTAATTGTGAAATATTATGTTTTTGTTTGTCTTGTATTCAAATAAAGGGAAAAATATAACCAGTTTTTGGCAATAATTATTCCATAGAATTAATGAATATTGTATTGACATCAATAAACGGTAATGATAATATTTAATGACTCACTATTTGTTGGCCATGTTAATTGTATTTTTAAACAAGGATAATTTTAATTTATCTATGTATTTTTGTTTAAGTTATAAATTTATTTAAATTATTCAATTAAAAATTAATATATTTAATAGATCTTAATTTTAGATTCAAAATTTAACTGTTTTATTAAATTTAGGTGTTTTACCAACAGTCAAGAATTGACACATTTATTATGAGGATATTTCTAAAATTAATATTATTTTTATTATCATCAAAACTATTTTAATCGGTTTTAGGTTTTATTTGTTATTTCTTAAATTATTATTTTTGTCAAGGTTAGTTGTTCATTTTCTGTACACCTTTTACGTTGTATTCTGATATTTAGCTATTGCAACAATATCAGGTATCTTTTTATTAACAAGGATGCCAGATATACAGGAATGACCTATATTATACAGGAATTAAGGAATTTCGCAAGTATAGGAAGGTGTCATTCCTCAATAGACTCACTTGTTTCCTCACGAACATCACCAATTGATTAAGGAGGGGCAGTTTAAATAAACCATAATATTCTTATGATTATTATTATTGTAACGACATTTAAATTATCGCAAAATGAATGTTTCGAAAATTGTTTAAATATTGTATAAAAATTGTTAAAAATGAAATACAGAAAAATACATGAATATGAGATAAACTTTTCACTTTTTACAGGATATCCAAAATATTTTCTGGCAATGCTAATTATTAAGCTCATTAATTTTAAATTCATATCGATATTTATTTATGAGGACTTACGTAGGGTTTTATCGGGGGTGAGGGGTATTGCATAAATAATCTTAATTTTAAAAAAAAGATACGCTCAATTTTTTAAAAGCCGATTAAGATGTATTATGCTGATAAAATATAAAGTAATTTTGACAAATAGATTTACATTGTTGCATTCAATCAAACGTATTTAATAAAACCTCGTATCAGGGACACTCTGATGCCTTACTTATTGATGCATGTAATATAGATTTTNGGAACATAAAAACCCGTAAAAATTATTGCATATATTCTTAGAAACAATGATACATCGGTACAGTTGTCTATAGTTATAATGAACAACTGTGTACTGATATTATAATTAATGCACAATTTGTCATTTTCACCTATTTAATGAAGAGAATACTAAATTGGGTAAATTACGTTTATCCACTAGAAAATACTAACATGGTTTATTTCCTTTTGACAGCATCGACTGTGGTTGTGTGCACTCAAGTGTTACGCACTGTAAATGCGTGTAAAATACAAGACACAGGAATAATGTGTGCAATGAAAACCAGTTTCTCCTAAATTTTAAAGTCATTTTTTTGAAAACAATTTTTTAGATATATTTCCCTTTATATGAAATTAAATTTAGTTTATTTTACTGATGTATCATTCAAAATATAATAAATCTATACTATATTAATTAGTCTTTTAATTGTTATTCACAAGGATGTAATTTATTGAGATGCAACTTATCATGAGTTTTAAATAAAAATTTTAGATCAAAAAATTTTAATTTATAACAATTCTTACAACCAGAAAGATGTCAAATACTGAGGGCTTTTGTAATGTAGCGCTTGATTTGAACGAAAGTGACATGAATTGTGTTAATAATAATAATAACAATAATATTAATAATAATGTAAGTAAAAATATGAAAGATTTGGCCGTATATGTGAAGAATGTCAATTTTGAATACCGGCGCAATCATAAAGTGCTCAATAATATTAGTATGCAAGTACCACGGGGTAAGTTTATTTATAAATTAGTTATTATATCGTAAAATATTGTTAAATATAATTTTATAATAGGGAATTATAGATAAAATAATTTGAATAACAAATATTTTCGTAGCATTAAATATGTTAATTTTGTTAACTTTGTATTTATTTGTGCATTGATTTTGTATATTTTATAAATAAATAAAATAATCTTATTGAAGCATCTAATAAATTACTTGTGGTACTTTTCAGGAAAAATCTTTGCATTATTGGGACCAAACGGTACGGGAAAGACAACTTTTATTCGGACCATATTAGGTCAGCTCAAGTGCAAAAGTGGTACCATCCGGGTGTTTGGTGTGCGCTCGGGATCCAAGTACTCAGACATCCCGGGACCGGGAGTGGGATATATGCCACAAGAGTTGGCACTTTTTGAAGAGTTTACAATTGGCGAGATTTTATCATATTATGGCACTATATATCACTTGTATGGCAATGATATGCAGCAGAGGATCGACGCCTTAATACAATTATTAAATTTACCCGAAAAGACACGACTTATCAGTCAATTAAGTGGCGGACAAATGAGACGAGTTTCCATAGCCATCACCATGATACATAAACCCAAACTTATCATTTTGGATGAGCCCACAGTCGGCGTCGACTCACTATTGCGGAGACGGATTTGGGATCACTTGGAGGATATTTGTGTTAATTTTGGTTTGTCATATCCACCCGTTTTAATCTCTCTCCACATCCTTCACACCCTTCCCGACGACCGTATATTCAGTGCTCTCGTTGTCAG